CGCAAACATAAACATACCATACGTCAAATAAAATTTTACTATAATATAATAAACTCTGGGCAGCGGACTTCGATCGCATTATTCACGTACATTTCGACTGAACTCTAATAACCACGCGTTTGAATTACGTGCGGCACTGGGCAATGATAAATTTAAATTCGGGCCACCCAGCTTGACGCAAATCAATATAGTTACTTGTCATTTGTTCGAAAAATCTTTTTAACTCTCACAAATACCATGGACACGAAGAGTTAACTGGGGGTTAAATGAAAGGGAACGTCTTTTTTGGACAAAAAACACATCAGTACAAGATTATGTGTGCAAGGTTAGATTTGTAGAAGGTACATGACCGCTCAACCTTGTGTTTTTTACCGAATCCGGTTTAATGAAAATGTGACACGAGGTCAATCGCCCGACCAATCAAAAATGTCAATTTACGCACCATAGGGCGGTTCACTTAAATGACGTAATAGAATGATGGCGGGCACATGGTCGATGCAACCCTGTGAACCAGCGACGAAAAAACCCTGTACTAAGCTTTCCATTACGGAAATTCGTAATCGATGTGCTGACCGATGGATATTTATCGACTAAGTAATAATCTTGCCCAACATCTGTAGTGTCGTGGGGGAATGATTTTTTTCACGTCAAATCTTTACCGAACCTAAACTGCTTGCTAACTGAAAGGCTGTAAATGACGGAGATCATCTGCGATTGCGGCGACACCAAGTACTGATAACATAAAATTATCTGTATATTTTTAATGTCTTCATGCAATATATTCTGAGTTATCCACTTTATTCTGGCCCGCGAATTAATAGGATACAATTTTAAACATGTTTTTGAACGCCGCGAATTAAAAGGATACATTTAAAAATTAGCGTTCGAAAATAAAATGGGTGCGCGAACTAATAGACCGTGAATTAATCAAGTTTTTACGGTACTATATGTGGACCTCTCTCACATTTGTTCCTTTTGTAATGATATCTTTAATTCTCTAATTTTGGTGAATATTATTGTCATTTTTGGTAAAAAATGATATTTTTGACTTCTTGTTAAAAACCGCAAGTCCAATTGCTTTGATATTACATATATAGGTACTACATGTGTAGCTCTCTCAGATTTGTTCATTTTGTGATGTCTTCAATTCTTTAATTTTGGTGAATATTTTTGTAATTTTTGGTAAAAAGTGATATTTTCGACTTCTTGTTAAAAACTGTAAGTCCGATTGCTTTGATACTATACATATTGTTCATTTTTTAATGATGTCTTCAGTTCTTTAATTGAAATGTGCATTGCTAACAGCGGAGCTATCTCAGCCGATAGACTGCTTGTTCAGTTGGTCTTCATGTTTTGAAGTGTGCATGCAAGTTGTTTCAGTTACATTTGTTCCTTGTACAGCTGTGTTAATTGAATCATTTTGTATTACAGATTACTTCTGCAGCAAGGAGAACCCCAAATATGATGCGTTACAGTATGTGTTTGTACAGTTACAGGAAGACGCTGATCGAGATGTTCGCTTCTATATGGCTCAGTCCAATAATATGTACATCAATTTTGCTGATGGAGATAGTGATGTAAGTCGTGCCAAAATATTCTGCAGTTGTGATTCTCAGTCAGTTTACAAGGCTGCATACAGCAAGGACAGTTTAGATCAGAGATCTGCTTAAAAATGAATCGGTGATTATATTAACCCAAAGTCCAATTATTAGATTTGTGATAAAGATGCACAGAATATTTTGTCAACTCCTCTGAATGTTCTCATCGGGTCTCGCTACACCACAATTGCAATCCCTGGTTGGAATACTTCTAGGGTGAAGTGGGTGCATTATGCTTTGCATATAATTAACACAAATGCTGTTTCTGATGACATGTCTTGTATTGACAATTAACAGAATGCTTTATAGTTGTTGGGTGCCTATCACTATGTGGTGTACTGATTACTACTTATAGGCACATGTTTCTTACTTAAGCATACATTCCATATTACTTTGTAGGAAATTATAAAGTACATGTAATAATGGCACCACAGTGTGGTATCTAGCATAAAGGTGGGCGCAGTGCAGACATTCTTTTAATCGTTGCATGATTTCAATACTTTATTAATAGTTTATAGCATGCCTGTATTCTGCACATGGTAGGACTGCCTGAATTTAGACGGGCAGGCTAGTTGCAATATTGCAGCAAGTATCTTGCTTCACTTGGTTTCTCAAGCATGTTTACTTTTTTTAATTATGCATTTATTTAGAAACTGTCAATTATTAAGTCTGACACATTAGGAACTGACACATGGATAATGCAAGTCATTAGTAAATGGTGGTAACTCCCTCCCTCCCTCCCTCCCTCCCTCCCTCCCTCCCTCCCTACATCAACATTTTGAAAGGTATTTGTATTATTATAAACTCTAAAATGTTACCCCTTCAAAAAATTCAACAACCTAATCATTGAACATATTCTTGAAATTTAATGGCTTCTAAAATTTTGATTGATTACAGAACTGTTTTTTGTCCTTCTGCAGTCTTTCTATGGCAATAATTCATTCATATTTATAATCTGCAGGGTTTTTTTACTCTTAATAAATTAGCCAATTCAAAATTTAAAGGGTGGCAGTCGTCGCGCCGCGTCCTGTTCGATATGGGACTCGTAGCACCGTATACAACGCATGTAAAATACATTGTTTATTTACATGGAATTCGAACACGTGCTGCGCGACGACCGCCACGCTTTAACATAATCCTGTATTCTAAAAATTCAACTTTCCGAACCTTCTTATTTAAAAGTAGTTGAAATTTCATGTTGGCTCATTTTGCAGTTGAACATACTTTTGTGTACATTTCTACATTGTATGGCTGCTTTTGTATTGCCTGCACAATGTTTTAAGTTCACTAATGTTTGTTTTTAGTCCATATATTTGTGATTTTTGACGCACACAATGAGAAATTAACTTTTACTCCTCCAAATCCAATGAATTGAATTGCATTTCAGTTTTAATTTTTTGTCACACAATCATAAGATTTTAGCAGAATGTCTCCCCACATCTTTCAAACTAAAAACAATAAATGCATTTGCAAATTCTTGAAAGGATGAATTGACAGGAAAAGTTATTTGTTTGGGCATAGCCTTATTACACTATATGCTATTTAATACATCTATAGGTTGAATGTTAGTGGTGTCATTAAATTTTGCCATGGAAACTCAATTAATGCAAGTATGATTATAGCACTGGGCAATGATTTTTCAATGATTTCAATTGTTTGCTTTCACATGTCTTGACAAACTTGTGTTACTGACTTGCACTACCGTATATAATTTGTTACACAACGCCCATTCAACCCATATTGAATGTGATACACATGTACCTATATTTGTCTTGTATGTTAATCTGTCCCAGCATTCAGTATCCTATCATCCACCACCCTGTGAAACATTCATTTGTAATCAAGAATAGTGAATATTTTGAAATCTATTAGGAGTGCATATGCCTTATGTGCTTCACATAAAGCAAATATGGTATCAATGTGCCATATTTGATTTGATACAAATATTATGTTCGTACAGTTTATGCAAAGCTACTAACAAGATTGTACTTGATTGGCTTAGCCAACCTTAACAACTAACATTCAGACCAATGAGAGTGTAGCTTGTTTGTTGACATCTTATCTTTTAAGTACCCAATTTAATGATGGGGGAGAGGGCACTTCATACATTAACTTGACATGGGTTTTTTTTTGTGTTTTTTTCATACTAGGAACCACCTGTGTAATAAGAATATATCAATGTTTCTTCAATCAAGTACCGTCGTCACAACCATCAATGAGTCTTCTGTAGATTGAACCTTTACTGTGGCCTTTCCTGTTTGCCTGTAGTGACTGTTTTGTGGTGCTTTTCTTTTAAGGGGGATTAAATGGTTATTCAAAATGTGTGCCCTTGCAATAATTAAAAATCACTGCTTTGTTGGCAGTTTAATTAAACTTATTTGTTGTGTGTCCCAGCAGTTCTCGTATTGCTTTAGCTTTTTTTTTTTTAAGTTGTGCATTTATGTAATTGTCCCCACAAATGTGTATCTTTGTGTAATGAACTTGCAAAATTAGAAAAAATTTAATGCAAGACATGAACTTGATCAGTGAGTCTCTTTACTATATTGCTGGATACATTAGATTTTTATTATGACAGTCTTCAATGTCTTAGCTTGTCAGTGTTTAACTTAACAGTACTTTACAATCTCAATAAAAATAACTTATCTGCAGTAAATGTGTGCATTATACAGTATATTTGTACCATTTTAATAATGTCCATCTCCCTGTGTGCAAACAGAATCTTGTGCAAGCTACATTGACATGTGTGCTAAATAATCTACAGTATGTGGATTGCTTGTCACTTTAATGTATGATTTGTATTGTCTAATAAAAGAAAGTAGTAATGGCTTTCCATGTGCTGCATCATCCATAGTTAGGTGCTAAACTAAACCACGTTTTCATTTGCTGTAATTTTATGTCTGATTATTAACTTGTTATACTCCTTGAACTTAATATGCAATGTAGGAAGCAGCTCAGGTAAAACTAATGTCCACTTGCATTGTTATGCTGCTGATTGCTTCAATATCTCTCTAGGTCTTATTTACAATACAACTTTAGTAACTGCTTTTTGTTCTCGGGAGTACCAAGTTGGGCATTTATTCACTAATTTATTGTATTGTCTCCAAATGTATTTAATGTGTGGAAATTATCCAGTCTGGCAAGTTCTCCATTTTTTGAGTGATGTTTAAAAGAGTCATTAAATTGAAAAATATTTGTATAAAACAATATTGTAGATACAACTAAAATACTGATATTTTTACTCTGGGAAGTTTTAGTGATTTCCGAAATTTTTTCAAACTACATCTCCAAATTCTCTATTTTGGTAAGGGCAAATATTATCTTTTGCTTATTTTTGGTTATCATAAAATCATTTACTCATTTGGGCTATTTTGGCCTAAATTGCATCATTGCCATGGTTTCAGATAAGCTGATGCAGCTTTAGATTTGTCTTTCAAGAATTGTAATTTTTTTTCTGCCTTTTTATGGTATAGAATTTCTGTATGGATTGTACTACTTTCATATTGAAAGATTTTCTCATATTCTTCATCTTGTCTTGTAGTATACAGCTAAATACTTTAATGTCTTGTTTACATGGGATTAAGACTTTGATGAAACTGTCTGTGACCAATCCTCTTTTACCAATCATTTCCACCCTGCCTCTTCAAACAACTGTTGATGAATCAGTTGATGAAGTGAAAGTATTTTGCGACTTTACATACTTTTTAAACCCTTGACAAGCCAAACGATGTGTAGCATACATAAATCTCTCGCAATAGTTTTGTCCCCTTTTCACGCGGATCTGTATGTAATTTTGTAAAAAATAATTTCTTGATGCAAAATGTCTTATAAAATAACAATAAAGGAACTTCCCCATGAAATCTGTTTTTATTATGTGTTCTTTTTTCAACTACATGTTCAAACATTGAAGAACCAGCTTACAGTTTCAAGTACAATTTTTAGTCCTAATCTCAAAAACTTGCTCTGTGTTCACTGCAGCATTTTTGTTGGTTCCAGTTCAAACTCTGGCCAAGACGTGGACTTCACTTGCAGCTCAGATATGCTTGGACCAACAACTAAGCTGTTCTTTTTTGTTTTTTCGATAATGTGCATTAAAAAAAAAAGTTTGAAGTTGCCTGGTATCAGCAACTTTATCAGCTATACCTCTGCCAACACCTGTGGTCTAAAATTAAAACTTCACAGTATATTCTGGGCATTGGAGTGATGAATTGAGAGTAGAACAGAACATAGATTCTACGCATCAGTGGACTGAGTTAAACACTCTTATAGATTGTTAGCATTAGTGGAATGAATTCAAATGCTTCTAACATTCTAGGCATGAGTGGAACACCTCATAGATTCTAGATGTTAGTGGAGTGAATTGTATTGATCGGAACACCTCATAGATTCTCGGCGTTAGTGGAGTGAATTGTATTGATTGGAACACCTCATAGATTCTCGGCGTTAGTGGAGTGAATGATATTCGATTGGAACACCTCATAGATTCTAGGTGTTAGTGGAGTGATGAATTATATTGATTGGAACACCTCATAGATTCTAGGCGTTAGTGGAGTGATGAATTATATTGATTGGAACACCTCATAGATTCTAGGCGTTAGTGGAGTGAATAATATCGATTGGAACACCTCATAGATTCTAGGTGTTAGTGGAGTGAATTATATTGATTGGAACACCTCATAGATTCTAGGCGTTAGTGGAGTGAATTATATTGA